AAGGGTCACTGGCCATTTTTAGGAAGTGGCTACTCAATATAACAACAAATTGGAATCAGTGGAGAAAACCCATAGATTTTCTTGTATTTTAGGTCAAGTGTCATTGATTCCGTTGTATTGTGGATTAAGTCCCCTTTGCTCAGCAATCACTTTTTGGAAGAAAAGTGATTACGTTGTCGAGAAAACTCTGGATTTGTCTTTATTTGGTAGGTGTAATGGGTTTTACCTTCTGTTAGCCTGCACTGTGTTGTAACCTGTCAGTTCTGTGTTCCTGGGGAACCCTGGCACAGTACCCAGCCTATCTGATGCATGAAGGACTGCCCTCACCTCGCCTCTGTCTGAACCAGAACAGATCAGAAGAAGAGCTTACAAAAAGAAATGAAGATACAGTGAGAAACACACCTAAGCCCCTCCGGATAAGGGAAAAAAGATTACAGCAACTTCCCCCCAGTCTCATATACATCGGAGATGGGAAAAAGATGGTTCATTCGCATCCAGAGTGGAGAACAGAGTCCCAAGGCGAGGACTGCCCTGAACTCTGGGACCAGAGAAGCAGGGAAGCACTGCATGATGGGGGATCTCTGCTCCAGATGCTAATTATCCCACACCTGTACACATCCTGCTCAGCATTTATCAGACCAATTCTAGTGATAAATCCTTTATCAGGTACCCAAAAATACTGTCTCTGCCTGATTGCATTGTGAGCTCCCTCTGAGCAAGATCGCCCAGAGCCAGGAATAATCAGTTCCTATTGTCCAGCAGAAACAAATCCATTGTTCTCCCTTGAAATATTGTTATGTCCCTATAAGAACCCCCACCCCAGCTCAAGTCTCTGTCCTGGTGCTTGGATCCAAAACCTGCACCAGTTCCACTGTGAATTTACCGTCTCCTTTTCTGCCTGGAATATCTTCTCCCATCATACTGGGGGCTCTGCCGGTCAACAAACACCTGGGAACCGTGGAGTGGTGAGACCCCAACTCTCTCTCTCTACCTCCACCCTTCTCTCTCTATTCCTATTTTGTTTAAGCCTACTTCCTAAATCTCAGACTTGATTTAATCTTTCTCTCTCTCACTCCAGGCATAGCTTTCTAAACCTGACTTTTGCTGATCAAACTTGAACAAGCCCACTTCCTAAACCTCAGACTCAGTTTAATCCCTCTCCCTCTCTCTCTCCCTCTCTCTCTTACTCCAGAAACAGCTTTCTAAACCTGACCTTTGCTGATCAAACTTGAGCTAGACTTCCCCAAATACCTAATTGAAACTGTGTAATATTGTAACTGTTTTGTTTGTTTTTCCTTGTATGGCCGTTACTACTAGTATCATCATAAGTTTCATATACCTGGCAATAAAATAATGTTTATAGCCAAGCTGGTTGCTATACTCTTTCTCTGAATCTCATTTACTTTTCCTTCTCCTCTACTGCCCCACTTGCTCTGCAGCAATGCTTCTTTTACCTAAGCCAAAGATCCCTGTAAAGTCCAACATCCTGTGGGGTCTGCTCATTAAGGGAATTACTACCAGGATACTTGTGACAAGAGATCGGGAAGGGGGGGTGCTGAGTTTGGGACCTATGAGGGTATCAAATGGACACCCAGCCTGACTCAGATGTGCTCTGTTAACCCACGTGCTTGTGTCTGACTGTGTTTTATTGTTGCCCTGATGAACTGAGTCCGAAGCATATAAGGGTGTTAGCCTGTACATGTTGATTGACTCGGCCAGCTCTGATGCGTCCTATTAATCTGTCTGTGTGTGTATGTGTTTGACTGATTTGGTGGCTCGAGGAACCCAGCCCCATTGAAACTGAGTCCTGCAAGATAGCTCCACTGGGGTGAGGACTTGCAGAAGGGAGAGATACAGCTCCGTATAGAAACACAAGTAACACAAGCCGCACATTGATATACTTACAGAGACCCCAGAAACATACCCCTAATAAATGAGTGCACCCCAAAAAGACGGGCAAATCTGGTAACAGTGTACAGTCATTTATACTGTGTAAGTGGGTGTAAAAGTGTTCTCATTTGATAGGACTTACACATGCTCTGCACCAATGTAAATGGTTACATAGAATGCAGGATAATGAAGAATCGGGCTAATTGGCCCTGAAGAAACTGTGGGTCCACTGTTGGGAGTTATACTTGTTTTCTTTGAAACAATTTAAAAAACAATGTAACCTGTACAACTGGGGCCTTTTAAAACTAAAACACTGCAAAAAAGACAAACAAACATATTCCCTCAACACATTTTTTAACAGGAGATATGGAAAGAGAATTTTAAAAGGGGAAAAATATCCTCTTTGCTCTCTGATGGACCTCTTCAGTATTGGATTTATGAATGGTATATAATGGGATTTATCTTAGAAACACTCAATTAACCTTCCACAGTAACAGCAGTCAAATGGGTTATTCTGATTTCATAGAAGACTCTTCTGAAAATTAAGGATTTGGGATGGGAAAAGGGACTCATTCCACTGTAACAAAGAAAGATAAGGCCTGAATAAGCAGAATGGTACTTGGATGGCATTATTTGGATTTTTATTTAATTTATTTGCCAGGTTTTTTTTGATAGCAAGTATTAGAGAGAAAAAAACATACTCGCAGTCTCTAGTCATCAAGATGGTAGCCACTGATTTTTCTAGGTTTCCTAAATTCACTGCTGATGAACCAGGATGAATGGTAGAAATCACAGCAACTATACCAGAGGCATTACTAATTTGATTGCATGTTTCAAGTCTTTTCTCATCTCCTTTTGCATCTCTTAGCATTCTGCCCATGAATGATTCATGCCTCCTGAGGCTGGGCGGGCACAGCAACACCATGCAGGTGACGGCGGCAGTGTCGGCAGTGGGGGCACGGCAGCGGCAAGTGGGCACTGCTTGCAGGTGGCCACGGTGACATCGGCTCCAAGGGCAGGCCGAGTGGGGACCACCTGCAGGCAGCTGTGGTGGTGTCGACGGCGGGGGTGGGGTTGCAAGCAGCAACCACCTGCAGACACCAGCGGGAGCATCAGCAGCGGCCAATCTCAGGGGGGGCATGTGCCCCCCGTGCCCCTCCTACGTGTCACCTATGATTCTGCCTAAGTGTACAAAGAACCACTTCTTTCTCCCTTGCTGCCCTACAAAGAAATGCTGACCAGGTTTAGGTGTCCCTATTTCTGACAGTCTTGAAAGCATTCTTTTGCAAGTAGGTCAATAAACTTTAGGCACATGCACTCTTT